GGGACTACAGGAGTGTGCTACCACACCCAGATAATTTTTTAAAAATATGTTTTGTAGGGCCGGGCGTAGTGGCTCACACCTGTAATCCTAGCACTCTGGGAGGCCGAGGCGGGCGGATTGCTCAAGGTCAGGAGTTCAAAACCAGCCTGAGCGAGACCCCGTCTCTACCATAAAAATAGAAAGAAATTAATTGGCCAACTAATATATATAATATAAAAATCAGCCAGGCATGGTGGCTCGTGCCTGTAGTCCCAGCTACTCGGGAGGCTGAGGCAGGAGGATCGCTTGAGCCCAGGAGTTTGAGGTTGCTGTGAGCTAGGCTGACGCCACGGCACTCACTCTAGCCTAGGCAAGAAAGCGAGACTCTGTCTCAAAAAAAAAAAAAATATATATATGTTTTGTAGAGACAGGGCCTCACTATGTTGCTTATGCTTCATGGTCCTATACATTTCAGCCAGAGACTGGGGGCACACACACTGTGCAGTAGTCAATCGGTTCCTGGAGAAGTAGGGTTAGCTCACAGAATAGGCAAACACACCACCAGACCTCCATTTTGACTATTTCTCCTTGCTGGAATAGATTGTTCCAGATCTTGGGCCAGAAAAGAGAATGTACCTAGAACATGCTAATCATGTTAACTACAGCATATCAAAATGGTCCCTGCTGGGAGATGTTGGAGAATGCTGTAATTGCCACAAAAGTATACAAATCTATTCCCCATAAGTCAAGAATGTGAGTAATCAAGATGGTGGATATTTCTGTGGCACCAGGCCTGGAACAAGAGTACCAATGAAAACCCACATCCTCATACCTAAATAATTAAAGCTATAAAAATGAAGCTGGTTGGGTGTGGTGGCTCACGCCTATAACCCTAGCACTCTGGGAGGCCGAGGAAGGAGGATCACTTGAGTTCAGGAGTTTGAGACCAGCTTGAGCAAGAGTGAGACCTTGTCTCTACTAAAAAAAAAAAAAATAGAAAAATTAGCTGGGCATTGTGGAATTTGAGGTAAAGTGCAGTGAGCTATGATGATGCCACTGCACTCTAGCCTTGGGCAACAGAACAAGACCCTGTCTCCAAAAATAAATAAATAAACAAATTGTAACTGTGTTCAAAATGTACAAGATTTACTTCAAGGGTAAACTGAAGCAAATGCAAGAAATTTTAAACTTAGAATTATTTTTCATGTTTTTTCAAGTTCTTTTTCTTCTAGAATATTAAAAATTAACCATTAAAATTAAAAGGCAAGCCGGGCGCGGTGGCTCACGCCTGTAATCCTAGCACTCTGGGAGGCCGAGGCCGGCGGATTGCTCGAGGTCGGGAGTTCGAAACCAGCCTGAGCGAGACCCCGTTTCTACTAAAAATAGAAAGAAATTAATTGACCAACTAAAAGTATATATACAAAAATTTAGCCGAGCATGGTGGCACATGCCTGTAGTCCCAGCTACTCGGGAGGCTGAGGCAGGAGGATCGCTTGAGCCCAGGAGTTTGAGGTTGCTGTGAGCTAGGCTAACGCCACGGCACTCACTCTAGCCTGGGCAACAAAAGTGAGACTCTGTCTCAAAAAAAAAAAAAAAAAAAGGCAAAATAAAAATGATAATAAATATCACATTTCAACATCAAATTTATTTCAATAAAATTATTTTAAATCTAATTTTTGAAAATATAAGCCATAAAGTATTTTTATAAAAATAAAATTATTGGAATTTTAGCATTCAACAGCCACTTAATGGCCCATGTAAAGAATTGGTATCACACTTCCTGCAAAACATGTCTAGAGCTACATATGTGAAAATTAAAGAGTAATACAAATAGTTTACTATTTTTATTTATTTATTTATTGCTGTTTATTTTGAGCATCTGGGTGCAGATGGGTGGAGGCCGAGAAAAAGGCGTCCACGGTTTACTATTTTTTTTTTTTTTTGAGACAGAGTCTCGATTTGTTGCCTGGGGTAGAGTGAGTGCCGTGGCATCAGCCTAGCTCACAGCAACCTCAAACTCCTGGGCTCAAGCGATCCTCCTGCCTCAGCCTCCCAAGTAGCTGGGACTACAGACATGCGCCACCATGCCCAGCTGATTTTTTTGTATATATTTTTAGTTAGCCAATTAATTTCTTTCTATTTATAGTAGAGGCGGGGTCTCGCTATTGCTCAGGCTGGTTTCAAACTCCTGACCTCGAGCAATCCGCACGCCTCGGCCTCCCAGAGACCTAGGACTACAGGTGTGAGCCACCTCGCCCGGCCTGTTTACTATTTTTAAATCATCCTAAGCCACCATGTGCAACTGTGACTACCATGTGAATTTTCTAGTTCTTTTGGAACCATGAATATAAATGGGAAGAAAGGCCAAAAAAATAGATGCTAGGAACTAGGCCAGACTCTTATCGATTTTTATGCTAAGAGGAAGAATTTGACAAATTTAAAAATTTGTCTTTCTTTCACCTAAGCTCATTGCAGCTCAAATCCTATCAGTACTGTCCACAAATTTTCATTTCATTGGGATGCAATTGTGTTTTGAGGACATGAGACAAGTGATGTGGAGAAACATATCCCTGGGGCCTGGACAGTGTTAGTCCCGAGAGTGGATGTTTAGGGTTATCAGTCATGCTGTACTAGCGCTGAGCACTGGATTCTGAGTGACAGCGATGCCGAGTTGTTCATCAGTAAATATGCATGGCTGTGATATGCAGGATCCTTTAGAGCACAGGATCCAGGTAGGGGTCTAAGGGCAGTCATATGGGATGATTAGAATGGGATGATCCAATATTGTTTTCCTAATAGCTATGTTATTGTGCATAAAAATGCATGTGCTGCTGTGCACAATGATTCTGCATGCTAATTAAAACTGTAAAAGCTCTGGCCATAGAATCTTTTTTTTTGAGTTTGAGTTTGAGTCTCAGTCTGTTGCCCAGGCTAGAGTGAAGTGGCATCAACCTAGCTCACAGCAACCTCAAACTCCTGGGTGCAAGTGATCCTCCTAGCCTCAGCCTCCTGAGTAGCTAGGACTACAGGTGCACACCATGATGCCCAGCTGATTTTTCTACTTTTAGTAGAGACAGGGTCTCCCTCTTGCTCAGGCTGGTCTTGAACTCCTGAACTCAAGCAATCTTCCTGCCTCGGCCTCCCAGAGTACTAGGATTACAGGTGTGAGCCACCACGTCCAGCCAGCAATAGAATCTTTATGATATATATAATGGAATGAGGTATGTGCTCAATTCTGTTTTGGGAGAATGAAAAATGATTGCCAGTCTATAGCCACATCTAAGAAATGCTGAATTAAAGTTAAAAGATTTTGGCAAGGCATGATGGCTCACACTTGTAATCCTAGCACTCCGGGAGACTGTGGTGGGAGGATCGCTTGAGCTCAGGAGTTTGAGACCAGCCTGAGCAAGAGCGAGACCCCATCTCTACTAAAAAGAGAAAAAATTAGCCAGGCATGGTGGCACATGCCTGTAGTCCCAGCTACTCTTGAGGCTGAGGCAGGAAGATCACTTAAGCCCGGGAGTTTGAGGTTTCAGTAAGCTAGGATGACACCACTGCACTCTATTTACTCAGGATGACAGAGCGAGACTCTCAAAAAAAAAAAGTTAAACAGATTTCTTTACTCCAGGACTACTCAGAGCCTTTAATACACTAATGTGAACTGTGACTTACCAAGGAGAGACCTCATGGTATATTTTTCAAAATTACTTGACCACCAAAACATTTCAGGAACTTTTATTAATATCTCACGGAACACATTTTTAGCTCCTGCACTACCCTAGGTGTTCAGTAGGAAAGAGTCCCCAGGAAAGTAGAAACCATAAAGGCAGGACTGGAGATGTCACTGCAGAATCTGTCAACTCCAAGATAACAGAGAGACTTCCTCCACAACAGAGTGATGGATCCACTTTGTAACTGTCATGGGTTTTGAGTGGTCAGCAAGTCCCTGGAATTTAGTGGCTTGTCACTGCACCCTGTTCGTCATGATACCTTGGCATGTTCAATCCCTGGCATTCTGGAATGTGTCGCTGTGTCTGATGCCAGGGCAACCTGAGTTCTGTAGGCAGTAGAATGCCCCCTGCACCTCCCTCCCTCCCTCTGATGCCTGATGCCATCTTTCAGGCTCCCACAAGCTCTCTCCATGGAGCCTTCCTCAGCTTCCCGGGCCCGGTTGACTCCTCCTTTCTCTGATCCTCTAAACTTGGCTGCCCCATTCTGTTGCTGGACTGAACCAAACCAGGCTGCAAAGCTCCTGAAGGCAAGGACCCTGGGTTATTCACATTTTTTGAGTCCACAAGATAGAACCCAATAAAAATGTGTGGGTGGCAGTGACGCTGGAGATGATGCTTCTGACTGTGATAGAATTTCCACCAAATAACCCCCAAGGACCCACCAGCCATTCTTTTGATCAAGGATACCAACCAAAATATTCTTTTTGAGATCAAATGAGATAACACGAAATACTATGTGCGCAAATGCTTCATAGAATATAAGGTTATTAAGTGGTTTTTTTGTTTGTTTGTTTGTTTGTTTGTTTGTTTGTTTGAGACAGAGTCTCACTCTGTTGCCTGGACTAGAGTGCCGTGGCATCAGCCTAGCTCACAGCAACCTCAAACTCCTGGGGTCAAGGGATCCTCCTACCTCACCCTGCTGAGTAGCTGGGACCACAGGCATGCACCACGATGCCCGGCTAATTTTTTCTATATATTTTTAGTTGGCCAATTGATTTCTTTCTACCTTTAATAGAGACGGGGTCTTGCTCTTGCTCAGGCTCGTCTCGAACTCCTGACCTTGAGCGAACTCCTGACTCCTGACCTCCCGCCTCGGCCTCCCAGAGTGCTAGGATTACAGGCATGAGCCACCGCGCCTGGCCTTAAATGGTTATTAATACAGTCTCCATTGTCCCGATCAGTGATTGCTCTATTTCTAATGATCTTTAACCTTTTATTGGTACTTCTAGTAACTCATGCCATACCCATTTGCCTTGCCCACCAGCTGATTCGTTATGATGTTCATCTTACCAGGGGTCTAGTTTTTCATGGCCATAACCACGGTTCCAGATAACGACAAGCGGTCAGCCTAGTGCTTTTTCTGTGTCCCTTCCTGGGTGCATTCGAGATGGTTCTTGAAGTAGTGGAGAGCCAGCTTGAACTGGATCTGGGCATTGGTATTAGTCCGGTACGTGCTGTAGATCTTCTCCAGAGCGGCCAGATCTGAGTCCACCGCTGGAGATCGGGACTGGTGACCTATCATCACGTCTGGACATGACCCCACCAGCAGGCTCCCTAGCCCGTCAATAAAGAACTCTGCAAAGACAGGGAGAGCAGAAGGAGGCAGGAGCTGCCACCAGAGACCCAGGTCCTCTCCCAGGTCTGGGAGGAAAGTCCTGGGGAGAGGACACTGTTTATACCCTGGGAACGTTCAGCTCCATGTGAAGCTGACACCCTTAACTCTAGGACCTGTCCTAGAACCTGTCCATGCGATGAGTTGAAAGCAAATGAAAAGGCTCATTTCTCAGGCAGTGATGTGGGTGCAGAGGCAGAGAGGCACAGGGTAGCTTTCCAGCTGGACAGAACTGTGGACTCCAGGGCTGATGGAAAAAGAGGAGAAGAGAGAAGGCGGTTACGTAGGAAAAGATTTCTGGAAAAAGAGAATAAAGCAGGGTGGGAAAAGAAGGAGAAGACAGAGCTGTAGGGGAAGGATCGGGAAGGGTGTCTCAGACAGGCAAAGACAGTCTACGGGAGAGGCACAAGTCAAGGAGAAGTGGAGATGGAGGCAAGAGAGACCCTGAGCTCCCTAGTTTGGGGTGAAAGGGGAAGGAGACCCCTGCTGCTGGGCAGGCGGGCGATCATGACCAGTGGGCATGGCCCTTGGGAAGAACAAACTTCTGAGGCTCATTCACAGCCCATCTCCCTTCCACACTCTTCCAACCTTCCCACCTGAGTGAGCCACTCGTTGCAGGCGGGGATCGAAGCCAACTCTTTGGAGTCGCTCTGTGTGGGCCAGGAAGAAGTTGGCAACGCCACTGGTCACCACACAGCCGGGGAAGCCTTCCAGGGGCTGGAAAGATCCTGTCCTCTTGTGAAGGCAGTCTCCGTTCTCACTCTGTTCCAGCAGCAGCTTAAACTGGAACGCATTTCTCTGCACACTGCCCCCTACCTAGTCGGTGAGCAGAGAAATCCATGTTAGAGAGTACACACTTGACATCCATCCTGCCGCCTCCAGGAAGCCCTGCTGGACTGCACCTCAGTTATAACAAGAACTGCACCCTGTGTCTATCCTCCCAAATTATCCCTTTATCCCAAATGATCCCAAATTACTCTGTTTTTGCTGTTGTGGCCATGGCTTTCACCATACTACTGTTGGATCCTTTGGAACTTTTATTTCCTCCCTACCCCAAAAAATCTTGAGGTGAGCAGCACCTACCCCAAGTGCGAAGGGCAGACAGACTACCACCAGTACTCTGCTCATTTGGCAGCAAGCTCACCCTTTCCAGAAGGTTACTGACTCCCTTCCATTAGGAGAGCAGTATTGGAGTGCACGAGAGGCGCCCTGCGTGCACTGGTCCATCTCTGGGGCCTCCACTTGTTAGGTTTCTTGCAGGGAGCAGTTTGTCTCAAGCTGTTTTCCTCCCATTCTCTGTCCAACCCCCGCTTACCTCTCTGAGCTGCCTCTTCATGCACTCATGGGAAATATGTGTATTTGCACTTGAACCTGAGTAGAATAGGATGAGCAAGGACATCTATTCCCAAAACAACTTTAATCCTCTAAGGATGACATGGTAAAGTCTGCTCATTGTCCCTCGTCGCCTGTTTTTTCCTTCTTCCTTTTAGTAAATGAATTCTCTGAGTTTTTGTTTGTTTGTTTGTTTTGTTTTGTTTTGTTTTTGAGACAGAGTCTCACTTTGTTGCCCAGGCTAGAGTGAGTGCCGTGGCGTCAGCCTGGCTCACAGCAACCTCAATCTCCGGGGCTCAGCGATCCTATTGCCTTAGCCTCCCAAGTAGCTGGGACTACAGGCATGCACCACCATGCCCGGCTAATTTTTTGTATATATATATTTTAGTTGGTCAATTAATTTCTTTCTATTTTTGGTAGAGACGGGGTCTCGCTCAGGCTGGTTTCGAACTCCTGACCTTGAGCAATCCGCCCGCCTTGGCCTCCCAGAGTGCTAGGATTACAGGCAGGCATGAGCCACCGCGCCTGGCCGTTTTGTTTTTTGAGACAGAGTCTCACTCTGTTGCCCAGGCTAGAATGAGTACTGTGGCATCAGCCTAGCTCACAGCAACCTCAAACTCCTGGGCTCAAGCAATCCTTCTGCCTCAGCTTCCTGAGTAGCTGGGACCACAGGCATGCGCCACCATGCCCGGCTAATTTTTTCTATATATTTTTAATTGTCCAGCTAATTTCTTTCTTATTTTTAGTAGAGACGGGGGTCTCCCTCTTGCTCAGGCTGGTTTCAAACTCCTGACCTTGAGTGATCCTCTCGCCTCGGCCTCCCAGAGTGCTAGGATTACCGGTGTGAGCCACCACACCTGGCCTCTTTGAGTTTTAAGTGGACTAAATTAAGATATAGTCAACCAGCCAACTGAAATCTGTGTTTCCCCGCCTCCCTTTGCAGCAAAGTTTGGCCATGCAACTGAGTTCTGGCTGAAGGGATATGATTTAGAACTCGTGTGCAACTTCTAGACCACATCCTTAAAAGAAACCTGCCTGCCTCTACTCCCTTCCTTCCTTCTTGGCTATGCAGCCGGGGCCCACGAGGATGGTGAAGCCACAAGAAAAGGTCCAGGATTATCTTGGAAGCTGACTCAAGTGCCTGTGTGGCTTGTTACACGAGCAGGAACTACACCTTCTCTCTCGCTTAAGCAGTTGTGAACTGGTCTCTACAAGTCACCAAGGGATGTCTTATTTGATCTAGATGCTTTGGGCATTGTACACTTGCAGTAAGAGATAACGATGCCACTTACCTTCTTATCCATTTCCTTTTCTTCTTCTCTTTTCTATAGTGAATTGACTTTGAATGGTTTTATTATTTTCTTCTTTTTTTTTTTGTTGCTCAGGCTGGTTTCGAACTCCTGACCTCGAGCAATCCGCCCGCCTCGGCCTCCCAGAGAGCTAGGATTACAGGCGTGAGCCACCGCGCCTGGCCTATTTTCTTCTTTTTTTTAACAGCATTAGCGCCATGTGTGCTTCTAAAGCTTTGTAACATTTACAGTTTTTAAAATATTGTGTGACAACAAGAGCCCTGCTCTCTTCCATTGCACATCAGTTGAGGGAAGGAATTAGAAGTGATGCACAAATGCACCATTTTAAAAGTAGAACAATTGTGAATTGTGGGGGAGCGTAATTTGCTCAATGAAAAGTAAGTGTGTAGGCAGAAGCAGAACTCAGACATCTGCCGATTCCTGCTGTCATGCCCTTGACCCCAGAGCTCTGCTGCCTTAGTCGTCTCTTGCATCAGCCCCTCTCCCTCTCCTCTTGCATCAGCCCCTCTCCCTCTCCTCTTCCCTCACACTTTCCTCTCTCTCTTCTCCCCCTCCCAGTCTCTACGGATTGCAGTTGGGTAAAACCGGCAACTATTCCTTACCATGTCCAGTTCAGTTTTCTCCAGAACATCCACCAGCACCTCAATCTTGGTCTTGTCATTAAAGAAAAAGTCATCGTCCACCCAGAGAACATATTTGGTGGTGACTTGAGATATGGCCAGGTTCCTACCGGCAAACCAACCCTGTAGGTGGAATGCGTTAGATCGGTGGTTGCCTGCCCTGGCTCCATATGAGAATCACCTGGGGACCTTTCTAAATTCCCTGTCGCCAGGCTACATGCAACCCAGACACATTCAGATTAGACTCTGTGGGGATGAATCCAATGTACAGCCAGGTTGACAAACCACTGGGTCCAGGGAGTCCATGTCTCAGTGAAACACCGGAAGAAACAGTGACTACTCAGATCAAAGACTGAGACACAGAAAGACTAGAATGTCCTTCCTTGGCCCTGTGGCCTTTATGAATTGACTGAAGTCCTTTTTCACCTGACAGAGTTTCTGCAGCTCTCCCTATATCTCCTGGAAGATGTTGAGTTTAGGGGGTATCTGGTGTGTATAGTATCCATTTCCTCCTCTGTCCTTGAAGGAAGGTATGTGGGAGAAAGAGAGGGAGAGGGATCGAGGGAGGGAGGGAGAGAGGGAGGACAAAGAGAGATAGAGAAGGATGGAGGGAGGGAGGGACTGAGGGAAAGGGGAGGGAGGAGAGAGAGAGAGGCCCTAGCTTGGGTGGAATCACAGGATGAGAGGTTTCTTTGCATGCCAGGAATGCTTGGGATGTTAAATAACTCAAGTCGCTTATCAGGACCCCACTTTCCATCCAATAATGAGAAATGCAGAAAAATGAGTGTGACCCCGTATTTTTCTGAATCATGAGTCAGCCAGGGGGACTCAGAGGACAGTCCTCACTCCCTCCCACTCCAGGACTCTGCATCCTTGGGAAGACCACTGAGGCAGCCCCGTCCAGAGTAGAACCTGACTCTGGGACCCTCTTAACCCAGGACCCAGGTGCCCCCAATCTAGAAGGACCATACCTTCCGAAAGGGCATGGTATAATACTCCACATGGCTGTCTTTAATGTCCAGGGGCTTCTTGCTGTCGTCGGCCACTATCACAGTCAAGTCAGGGTAATACTCTCGAATACTCTGGAGCATGATCATGAGCTTGTGGGGGCGCAAGAAAGTCTTGGTGGCAATGGTCACCAGGTCTCTGAGCTTCCTCTCTGGACAGAAAAGGGTGGCTGTCACAGCTCTGTCCTGCCAGAAACCTCGCTATCTTGATTGCTTTGTTCCTGTGGCTTCCTTAGGCTACAACCTGTCAGCGTTTGTGGGCCTCATGGCTCTTATACAAGGGAGGTGCTTAATAAGAGTTTGTTAGTTGGATTGGAAAAGAAAGATATTTAGAACATAACCAATTTTGTTGAATTTCCTGGTTCTATTGGCTCTACTATGCCATTTACCTACTGACTGTTGGAATACTTCATTTTTTAAATTTCAGCATATTATGGGGGTACAAATGTTTAGGTTACATATATTGCCTTTGCCCCGCCCAAGTCAGAGCTACAAGCATGCCCATCCCCCAGACAGTGCATACTGCACCCATTAGGTGTGAATCTACCCATCTCCACCCCCTTCCCACCTGCCTGACACCCAATGAATGCTGCTACTATATGTGCATGTAAGTGTTGATCAGTTAATACCAATTTGATGGTGAGTGCATGTGGTGCTTGTTTTCTCATCCTTGTGATACTTCACTTAGTTCATTTTTACGGGTGCCTGTTAGCACCTTTCCTGTGTCCTGCTTTCATCTTTTTTTTCCCCTTCTTTTTCTATTTCCATCTTAATACTAGGAGTTGAGATCACAGAGCTTTTCCCACCGAGGGGTTCAATATGGAGGGTCACAGAGCCCAAGAAGAAGAAAAAAGGTCTAAGGGCCCAAGCAATCAACCCCTGGGACTACAGGCACACATCACCGCACTGGACTAAATTTTTCTATTTTTTGTACAGATAGGGTCTTGCTCTTGCTCAGGCTGGTCTCAAACTCTTGACCTCAAGTGATCCTCCTGCCTCAGCCTCCCAAAGTGCTGGGATTACAGACGTGAGCCACTGCTCCCAGCCAGATTCCACTTTTTATCTTCCATATAGCTACACAGTTAACCTACATGGTTACTTGAGTAATCTATCATTAATTTGGTAATTTGTCAAAGTTCAGCCATGGAGGAATTAACAGAAAAAGATTGTGTTAATTTGTCCCCCTTTAATTTGAAAAGCTACCTTTATCATACAGTGAAACTCTAACATATATTGGATCTATTTCTGGATTTCCAATTTGATTCTATTGATGTATCTACTCATGCTCTAGTATCATTCTGTTTTTATTACTATTACTTATCAAAATGTTATAATTCATTAGTTTTTTTTTTCAGAATAAGCACAAAGCACATAATAAGTTAAATATAATTAGGAGAGTGTGTCCTAGAATTTTTCCTCCCAAACAGAGCTTGCTGTCATGAATCATATCAGAGCTATTATTTGACCAATGCTCCCTCTCCATCTCAGAGGTGATCCCCTCTGAATTTCACCAACAGCTCCACAAGGTGCCACCATGGAGCGCCAAGGACAAGGGCCTTACCTGGTCCGGGGTCATATAACCTGGGTATTACAGGATGGCGGATGGTGACTGGAAACTTGGCCACTGAGGACTTGGACTCCATACTCACTGGAGGGAGAAATAAAGTCACAGCCCGGGCAGTGTCACGTCTACATCAAGCTCCATGCTGCCCCCAGGAAGCTGACGTGACAGGGGAGTGAAGGTTTGGTAGGGAGAGTTCTGGCTGGGATGATCTGTGGCATTCGGTCTCCTGGCTTGCTGCGTGTCCCTGGGGCAGCCTGCTGAACGCCGCCTAAGCTCACATTTGCCACCGTGGGAATGCGGTAGGGGAAGTGGGCTTGGGATCAGACGGTCTGGATTCCGTTTGACTTTGCCATTTTGTATCTGAATCTTTTTCTCCTTCTACAAAACCAAGATAATAACACCCACCCTACCTAAGCTCATAGGGTCATTTTGTGAAGGGAAATGTTTGAAAATCTCAAGGAGGGGGAGAACTATCTCTTTAGTTAGTGGTCATGACTATCATCTATCCCGTGTTTCATTTTTTTCTGTTGGTATCCTGGGAGTGCGTCCTGTGTAGCTGGTCGAAAGAGAAAAGAGGGATTTTAATTCATCCAGAAACAAACTGAGGCTGCCCTCAGGGTGGCAGGGATTGTTCTCCTAAGAATTTTTGGGGTGGGAGGACAGGCGTGGGGAGACAAAGCCACTGCCCTTGCAACTGGGAGTTCCCACACCTCCATTCTTTCCTATTAGTGCAAGTTACGGTCACGCAGACTGGCTCCCTCCTCTACGGTAATGGAACAGTTCTCACCATGTGCTGAGAGCACAGCATGAATAGTCTGTCCTCTCCCCCAGTCGCTCTGTGGGGCCAGTGGCAATCTGGGGGAAGTCCCTGGTACAGTAATTAGGAAGCTAAGTGTCTGGGGTTAGAAACAGGAACAAGGGAAGAATCTTAAAAGCAGGCAGGCTTCCTGGAGGAAGAAGACTTTGAGAGGGCCCAGTGTTATTTCCTGGCTCTCTAAGCATTGTGCAACCCAAGGACAGGCCTTCTTTACCCATGTCCACCATGTGATGCTGGTACCCTGAGCTGGTGTAAGTCACATGCTGGAGGATGAACTTCAGAAGCTTCCGGTCACTGGTTGAAATGGTCAGCTGCTTCTGACCTCTGCCCTGCACCACACTGTCTGGGATGTCAGCAAGGGTGTTCAGTGTCCCCAGAGAAGCTGTCAGGGTGACCTAGGGTGGGGGAAGTGGAAAGATGCTAAATACAAGGGCTGGAAAATATCTGTTTTTGGGAAAGGCACCTGGCCAGGATGTCAGCCAGCCATAGAGCACATGGGGGGGGGGAGCATCAGGGATGCCCTTGACAGTATAGGACCAGCTCCGCAGGGGGTCCCTGTGACAGCTGCCTCTCCCAACCCCCAACCCCCCAAGCCCTAGGGCCCCACGGGTTCAAGGGCCTGTTTCTGGAAACATTCACATCTCTTGGCTTGCTGGGCACCATTCTTCTCAACATCTTACTCCAGCCCCTGCTCTTTTCATCTCTCCTACCACCTCCTCCTCCTCCTGTCTCTGACCTCGAAATGGAGTTTGTCAGGCCTTGGTTCTAGACCCACTTCCCTTCTTCCTCTACACCTTCCCACGAGAAGGTGCCTTCTGTTCCCAAGGCTTTAAAACCCATCCACTGGCAAGTGGTGTCAACACATGTGTCTTCCGTTCTGAGACCCAGCTGCCGGCTGGTCGCTCTGCTGGGATGTGTCACACTTGCTGTCTTCAACACGGAACGACTAACTTTTCTCTAGACACCCATGTCCTGCCCTCACCCTAGTCCTCCCTGCCTTGTGGATGGTTCCTCCACCCCCTCAGCTTTCCGATCCCCCAGAGGGAAGTCCCTGCACCGCTCTTGTCCGCAGACAGCCCGTCGGTAGCAAGTCCTGTCAGCTCTGCCTTCAAAATGCTGCTAGGACTGGCTCACTTCTCTCCATCCCCATCACCACTCCGCAGGCTACTCTCTCCTCTCTTTATTTTTCTTTTCTTTTTTTTTTTTTTTTTTGAGACAGAGTCTTACTCTGTTTCCTGGGCTAGAGTGCCGTGGCATCAGCCTAGCTCACAGCAACCCCAAACTCCTGGGCTCAAGCAATCTTTCTGCCTCAGCCTCCCAAGTAGCTGGGACTACAGGCACGTGCCACCATGCCCGGCTAATTTTTTCTATATATTTTTAGTTGGCCTATTATTTTCTTTCTAGTTTTAGTAGAGACCAGGTCTCGCTCTTGCTCAGGCTGGTTTCGAACTCCTGACCTTGAGCGATCCACCCACCTCGGCCTCCCAGAGTGCTAGGATTACAGGCGTGAGCCACCACGCCTGGCAACTCTCTCCTCTCTTGCAGCAGATGGCTATCTTTATGAAAAACAAACTGGACGATGTCACTCCTGCTGAAAACACTCATCAGGCCACAGGTGATACTTTCTGGGAACCTAGTTACAGGCCCTGGGAGAGCTGCAGCAAATGCCTTCAAGAAGCTTGTGTTTGGCTGGGCGCGGTGGCTCTCGCCTGTAATCCTAGCATTCTGGGAGGCTGAGGGGGGAGGATTGCTCAAGGTCAGGAGTTTGAGACCAGCCTGAGCAAGGAGCAGACCCGTCTTCTACTAAAAATAGAAAAGAATTAGCTAGACAACTAAAAATATATAGAAAAAATTAGCTGGGCATGGTGGCACATGCCTGTAGTCCCAGAGCTACTCGGCGAGGCTGCAGGCAGAAGGAAAGGATAGCTTGAGCCGAGGAGTTCGAGGTTGCTGTGAGCTAGGGCTTGACCCCCAAGGCATCTATAGTCAGGGCAACAGAGTGAGACTCATCTCAAAAAAAAAAAAAAAGAAGCAGCTTATGTTCTCGCGGGGAGGAGGCAGCAAGCATGTAATCACACACGTGTTCGGGTCCAGGGCAGCGCTGGGAATAAGGCAATGTAGAGAACGAGAATGTGACTGTGGCAGGCAGGGGAGGCCTAAGGGGGACAGAGTACCTCTCCTGGATCTGCTCACTTGTCACCCATTGCAACCTCTGACTAGCACATGGAGTGGGGACAGTTAAGGCCACATCCCCCAGGCGCCTCTTAGTTAGGGTTCTGGGTGAGATCCCCACCCATCAGCTGTACGGTCATAAGACTTCGTTTTGGATCTACATTAAGTGAGGAAAGGAAGGCAGGGCACAGAGCACTGTCTGCCTTGCTGGCCCCAACCCTGACAGAGGCCACACCATGCAGGATCCTGTGGCCATGTGGCGGCTCCTCTTGCAGCAGAAACAGCAGCATCCGAGGTCCCTCCATGTGGTCTTGCAAGTCCTCCTAGAACTCCAGCCACTGTCATGGCTAGAAGAGTCACACCAGCTATGCATACCCTTCTCCCCCTCCTACCTCGGGCTCATGCAGGATATTTAATCTGGAGAGGGGCTCTGTCACAGGCTGAGACAGGACAGGATGCCAAGTACAAACAGGAGCTCAGAAGGGGACTCTTACCTCATAGACTGGGGCATCTGGTCCTTCAAACTGCAGACCTGGAGGACACGGAGGGCAGGGGGGAGATAGAAAAACCACCATCTGAGTGGACACCACAACTCCTTGCCGCTCTCACCTACCTCCATAACTCCTACACCTCCTGGGACAGTCCCTTCCAGTGTCACCTCCTGTCCAGAGTGTTTGCTGACACACGCCCCTCTCCCCAGGGCTCTGTAGATGGTGTTCCGTGTCTCTCTCCAACCCCAACGGTTCTACAACCTCTGATGCCCATTCAGCTCTGGGTGCTGTACATTAATTCAGTCCCTTCCAGTGTCTCTCACCCAGGGGAAGGAAGCAATGGATAAGTAATGAATCATCATTCTACGAGGTCAAATTCATGGAGACAGAAAGTAGCATGGCAGTTGCCACGGACTGGGGAAGGGGGAGGGGGAAGTTCATGTTAAATGGGTGTGGAGGTTCTGTGTGGGATGATGGAAAAGTTCTGGAGTCGGAGGGTGGTGATTAATGGCTGCACAACAATGTGAATGTACTTAGTGCCACTGAACCGGATACTTAAAAATGGTGAAAATAGTAAATTTTATGTTATACATATATTTTATTGCAATAAAAAAAGAATCATCCACAATGAAAAATCATTTTTAAAATGGCTATTCAAAAACACTAGCTATTCACTCCCAATGTATTTATTGTAGAATCTATCTCTGTTCTTGGAATATGACTAATTCAAATTCTAATTCAAACACATCCTTTCTATGTGGCCTTAGACAACTTACTAAACTCTTAACCATCCATAAAATTGGAAAAATATTGTATACCTTACAAGGTGCTTGTAAATGTGAAGTATATGAAGTCAGTTTATCTTTGTATTATTATTATTTATTTACTTATTTATTTATTTATTATTTTTTTAGAGACAGAGTCTCACTCTGCTGCCCCGGCTGGAATGCAGTGGCCTCATCATAGCTCTCTGTAGCCTCCTACTCCTCGGCTTAAGTGACCCCCACCTCAGCCTCCCGAGTAGCTGGGACTACAGGCACAAGCCACCATACCTGGCTAATTTTTCTATCTTTTGTAGAGATAGGGTCTCGCTATGTTGTTCAGGCTGGTCTTGAACTCCTGGCCTTAAGCCACCATGACCACCTGAAGTCACCTCAAAAGGAAGGATGTCGAGAGCGGAAGTGAGGTGAGCAGGGTCCACCTAGCCAAGGGGCTGACCCTCAGCCAGCTTCCCACTCCCCTCTGCCCCAGGTCTGGCACCTGCCTTTCCTTTTGTGTAGCAAATGCCATCCATTGACTCCCTGCACTCCCCTCTGTCTCAGGCAATCACTCTCATCTCACCTGTTTGATTTGTGGGTTTGTGCAATTTGGGTACCTGTTTTGCTCATTGATGCTGTACCTAGAGAGAGCTCAGCTCAATCCATGACATGTGCCAGATCCCCAAGTGTCACCACCACCCAGATCCTACTGGGAGGTTTTTTTCTGGGGCCTGTGGTGGGGGCTGTTTGCCTCAAGATGACAAGAGCCCACATGCAGAAGAGTCCAACATCTCTGCACTGGAAGAAACATTTGCACCTGCAGGTTCACACCTCTGCTCTCTCCTGATAATATTCCACTCTGCTCTGATAAGGGATGTGATGCTGAACTAGAGGGGTGGTAAAATCCATGGTGGAGGGCAGTTTTACCAACATAAACATTCTTTTCAAAATGCACTCCCAAGGCTGGGCGCGGTGCTCACACCTGTAATCCTAGCACTCTGGGAGGCCGAGTCAGGTGGATCGTTTGAGCTCAAGAGTTCAAGACCAGCCTGAGTAAGGGCGAGACCCATCTCTACTAAAAATAGAAAGGAATTAGCTAGACAACTAAAAATATACAGAAAAAATTAGCCGGGCATGGTGGTGCATGCCTGTAGTCCCAGCTACCTGGGAGGCTGAGGCAGAAGGAATTCTTGAGCCCAGAAGTGTGAGCTAGGCTGATGCCACGGCTCTCTAGCCCAGGCAACAAAGTGAGACTCTGTCTCAAAAAGAAAAAAAATGCACTCCCTGGAGGTGGGCTCATGCTTTGCCTGCTCCCATGATGCTGGAGGACATCCAAAATCCAATTATGTCCCAAGATTCTTGGAGGCACTATGCTATCTCAGAGCCCCAGGGAGAAGTCAGAGTTACTAAGAGAGATTTCCAGTTGTAGAAACAGTGAGGCTAACATTACATGAAATCACACTGGGCTTCCTACATTGTGCTAAGTACAGGTATTTTGCCTAAGAAGAGTAAGAACGTTGCCAGGGTCCCCTGGGGATTGCATGACGGACCTACCTGGGATGGGAATTGTGTGCAGGGGCATCACTTCCACTCCGTGAACTGGGTACCCAAAGGGGAGGTTGGGCTGAGCCAGCAGGGGCGGTGGGCGGGGCAGCCCTTCTCTGCAGGAGAACAGAAGCATCAGCAGCTGCCCTGACACTGGTGCTTGGGTTCTCAAAGTGGTGCCTGTGCCCCAGCCTTGCCCTGCCAACGTGCGACAATCGAAAGTGGATTGTCCCCGTCTTCCCTCTGTTCTCTCCCCACCACTTTTATTTGTCTCTCTCCCTCCAGTCTCCACAGAGACACAGAAGCCATTTACAACAAAGAACATAAAAAATAAAAATCACAGCCAGCAAAAAGAAAGAAACGAAATTATCAGACCATAGGGGCCAACCCAGCTGCAGGAGCTGAACACCAAAGTCACAACTGAACTTCTTGGTGGCCAGAGTAAAAAGTGATTGGCAGTCAGGACACTGCCCTTTAGACCAAAAGGAAGAAGCAGACCAATTCCTGAAGGGAAGTAAAACTTTTCCTAGCACTGAACTAAAAAATAAACTGTCACAAGTAACTTTATATGGAAGTGGTGGTTGTCATAGTATTTTTATTTTTGTTTGTTTATTTATTTAGAGGCAGGGTCTCACTCTGTTACCCCAGGCTGGAGTGCAGTGGTGTCATCATAGCTCACTGCAACCTCAGACTCCTGGGTTCAAGAGATCCTCCTGCCTCAGCCTCTCCCAAAGTCACAATATTTTTAGAGCAAACACAGTAGCTACTTTCACGTGTTATTTTGTTATTATGAACAATATTTAATCAAAGGCAGGTGCATAACACAATCCCGTGAGACTGATTCTTTGAAGGATTAAGTAATGATGGTTTAAACTGTAAAGCCTTTAGGGTTTTTTTCTTTTTGTCTTTTTTTTTTTGGAGACAGAGTCTCACGTCTCTTGCCCGGGCTAGAGTGCCCCAGTGTCCCCAGCCTCGCTTATCAGCAACCTCAACGTCCTAGGCTCCAGGCAATCCGTCCTCCTCAGCCGTCCCTAGTAGCTGCGGCTACAGCATCGCACGCACCACGCCCAGCTAATTTTCTCTATATATACCCGAGGCGCCGCGGCCCGCCGTTAGTGCCGTTAAGGTTTCTTTCTTATTCATCCGAGAGACTGGTCTTGCTTCTTCCCTCAGGCTGGTCTCGAACTCCTGACCTTGAGGTATCCCACTCCGCGCTTGGCCTTCCAACAGTGCTAGGATTACACCCGGGCATGAGCCACCCGCCCCAGCCCCGGGAGCCCAGTTAACCAAGGATATCAATAAAATTAGTTTGAAAAAAGCTTAGGCTCACTGTCAGTGGATACTTTATGCGCATCGGGCGGGAAAAGACACATTTTTTCAAACAATGGAAAAGGACATAAACAGGCAATTAACAGAAGAGAAAACACAAACGGCAATAAACATATGAAACATGACCAGTTTCAATACCAATCAGGGAATGTGCACTCTTACAAGCGCGCATCGACGCCCGTGGTGGCTCACGCCTTAATGCCTAACCCTCTGAGAGCGGCTCGGCGCCAGGCAGCGATCTCTCCACAGCCTCACGGAGTTCAACGGCGCCGAGGGGAGTGACCACCTCCACACAAATCACGCGGCGCGGCGCCAGAATTAGTTGGCCACACCACAACATGACAAAAAATATATATAATAACAAAAAATTAAAGCAGGAGCATCAAAACGATGGTGCATGCCTGTAGTCCCACATACTGCCCCAAGCTGAGGGCACAAAGAAATACAAGACATAATCTATAAGAAGACCAACAATTGAGGTATGCTGTGAGCTAGGCTGATGCCAATGCTACACAGCCCCAGCCGGGCAACCCAAAGACCATGATCATCAAAAAGAAAGAATACCATACAATCAGAAAAATAACAAATAAAATAACAAACAGACGATATCAGGAAACATCATCCTTAATGAATATTTAGACTTTGCATATAGTAAAACCCCAACATTTCATAACAACACAACCCAAAAAGACGCACTCTTAAAACCAGAACAACAGAGCCGCGGCGCTCGCTCCACACCTGTAATCCTATGCTCAAAAAAGGGAGCAGAGAAGGCAGGGATACCAACAAATAAGAGCTCAAGGTCAGAGTTCCAAAACCACCTGAGCAAGAGCGCAGACCCATTCTCCTCATAATACGACGCAAATTAATTCCAACTGATATATATACTACAAAAACTTAAGCAGGCGGCATCCGCGTGCGGCGCATGCCTGTAGTCCCCCGCGTACCTTGGCGAGCTGAAGGCAGGAGATGTTGAGCCCGGACGCACTTGAGGTTCTGTGAGCCTAGGCCTGACGCCACGGCACCACTCTAGCCTGAAAACACTGTGAGACTCTGTCTCAAAAAAAAAACAAAAAAAAAACTGAGACTTCGGCCGAGCGCTGTGGCTCCCCTGTAAATCCTCAGCTCTTGCGACGGCCCGAGGCGGGCGCGGATCTGCTCAAGGGTCAGTATTAAAACCAGCCTGAGGCAAGAGCGAGACCCCGTCTCTGACTATAAATAGAAAGAAATTAAATTGGCCAACTGATTAGTATATATACAAATTAGCCGGCAGTCCGGATGGCGCATGCCCTGTAGTCCAGCTACTCGGGAGGCTGAGGCAGAAGGATCACTCAAGCCAGGAGATTGAGGTTACTGTGAGCTAGGCTGACGCCACGGCACTCACTCTAGCCTGGGCAACAAGTGAGACTCTGTCTCAAAAAAAAAAAAAACAACTAGACTCCATCTCTTTCCTTAGATTAAGAGGTCCCTGAAGGCTGGCACTGCTTTTAGCAGGATGTGTCCAGCTAAATAAATCACACATAGTCCATAACACAGAATCTTTGGCTTCCTGGTGAATGTCTCGTAAGCTATACAAATCTCTGGGGCATAAAAAGGAGCTGCTTCATATTTTATGTGCTTCCTTACGTGGTGGTACGCGAGGTAATCTGACAAAACTGCATTTGCAGACTACATCAGCAATGTGCCTGAGAGCACATGTCTGATGTGGAGGAATTGAGCTGGGCATCCACACAGCATGGCCGATTAAGAGGATATCTTGCCTTGAATTAATTATCTATGTCCTTGACATTATGAGAGGGGCTTGATACTCGGTAAGATCTCTGACTCATCTGAGTCTCATTCCAATCTGATCCTGTGTGCTAGCTCCATACTATACCCCATTAAACTACTTGGGAGGCTCATGCCACTGCACTCCATCCTGGGTGACAAACTGAGACCCTATCTCAAAAGAAAAAAAAAAGTAGCACATGAGTAATGCTCCTCTAAGAAAAAGTTCATTTTACATTAAGTGCTAGGATTACAGGCATGAGCCACCATACCCGGCCTTCCTTCAATTCCCTTTCTTTGCTTTATTCCTATAGTTCCTCCCAGGGACCACTGCAAGGGAGGGAGGGTGGCCCTTCCTCTTCTCTCCCTCTATTTTTTTTTTTTTTTTTTTTTGAGACAGAGTCTCAGCTCTGTTGCCCTGGCTACAGTGCCGTGGCATCAGCCTAACTTACAGCAACCTCAAACTCCTCAAGCAATCCTCCTGCCTCAGCCTCCCGAGTAGCTGGGACTACAGGTGCATACTAACACACCCGGCTAAGATTTTTTTCCATTTTTCCATTTTTCCATTTTTACTAGACATAGCATCTCGCTCTTGCTCAGGCTTGTCTCATACTACTGACCTTAAGCAATCCTCCCACCTTGGCCTCCCAGAGTGCTAGGATTACGGGCATGAGCCACTGCATGGGGCCATCCTTTCTCTTCTCTTAAGACCCACACCCTCAGAATGTAGAGAAAACTCTATAGAGCTGAACTTCAGGACCCAAGGGCCCTCAAAGTCTACATTACCTCCTCTGAAAGTGTTCAAATTCAGCCTGTCTCCTCGCTTTCACCGCTGGGAGGTCACTCTGGTCATATGCATCCTGAAAGTTATAACTTCTCTGCTCTTCGGTGGTTTCACATTTGCACTGGTTCTTCGGGAACAGCCTAAAATGAGCAAGAGGACCTTAAGCATGCACTGAGTAGAGGTCTGGGGGTGGGGAGAGGAAACCTGAGGCCTAATCCAGTGGGCCATCCACCCTGAAAATCTCCTTTCCCTCACCCAGCTGTGCTAATTGGGTTGAGACCCTAGAATCCCTGGCAGAGACCCCTCACAAGGGAAGGGAAGGGGAAAGGGGGTGAAGGCTAAAGACTGTCCATCTCTTGAATTCTGCCCTGCACCTAACTTCTCTAAACCTGACAGCCATGTGAACATCACTGGCATCTCAGTCCCCCTAGAAGAGGAAGGCAGAGGGACAGAAAGGCAGCCTCTTTCCTACAGTTTGGGTCAAACAGGCCCTCCAAAGTTTTAAGGGATGTTGCTGGGTGCTATAAAGAAGAGATTGTGCCCTATAGACCACACCCTTTTCTGATCCCCACAATTTGGAATTTCTCATGCAACCAGGTTCAGAAAGGAAGGGAAACCATCTGTAAAATGGGCACAACAGGACACCACAGGAGGAGCAGGGAAGATGTCTGGACTAAAGTAGGAGAAAGAACACTCAGTATCTCACCAGATGCCGTCGTAGGTAAAGAGGTTCCGGAGACGTTCCTCAGGCAGAAGCTTCAGCACCTGGACCCCCAGCGGAGAACCTGGGGGCTCTGGCTTAAGACTCCTGAACTCTGCCTGAAGGGACACACTTCCGAACATAAATAAAACAACGCCAAGTCCCACGATTAAGATCAACATCTTGAGAAGCCACAGAAATCTATAGCTGTTGGGACACAAAAAAGAGCAATTTATGTTAAAATCTTTTTTCTTTATGAGATAATAGATGGCTTGATTTTTTTTTTTTTTTTTTTTTGAGACAGAGTCTCGCTTTGTTGCCTAGGCTAGAGTGAGTGCCATGGCGTCAGCCTAGCTCACAGCAACCTCAAACTCCTGGGCTCAAGCGATCCTTCTGCCTCAGCCTCCCGAGTAGCTGGGACTACAGGCATGCGCCACCATGCCCAGCTAATTTTTTATATATATATATTAGTTGGCCAATTAATTTCTTTCTATTTTTATAGTAGAGACGGGGTCTCGCTCTTGTTCAGGCTGGTTTCGAACTCCTGACCTCAAGCAATCCGCCCACCTCGGCCTCCCAGAGAGCTAGGATTACAGGCGTGAGCCACTACGCCCGGCCGATGGCTTGATTTTATAATGTATAAAGGGATATTAACTTGAAGGAAAATGTCAGTTAAGCCTACATCTTGTAATGGTTGCTAAAATTATTTCTGATAAATAAAGACGTAAAGAATCAAGCTTCAACAAAGGGACTCAGAAAAATCACAAGTAAACGGAAGCATGGGCAAAAACATCCAGAAAAAAATAGGCTTTCAATATTAATGTCAGCAGAGTTGAATCCCAGGCAAAAAAAAAAAAAAAAGGCATTAAATAGGCCAAAAAAGGAACACTTATAATGATCAAATTCATAATCCACGAAACAGATAGAGTAGTCATGAACTTTATCTGCTAAATAACCGCATTAAAGTACAAAGAATGGCAGGCTATGAAGGAAGAAGGCTTAGAAATACAAAGATTCTAACCTGCCTCTCTCGGTCCTTAACTAATCAAGTCCCAAAAATATATAAAGCAGCTACAACAACAAAATGATGTCATTCATATTTTATTAAAGAGCTTTTCGAACATTTACAAAAATTGGCTACAAATTAGGATGCAAAAGAAAACTGTAATAAAGTAGAAATAGTTCCGGTCATATATTCTGTTATTTATTTTAAAGATTATATTATGGAACACTTCACGAATTTGTGTGTCATCTTTGCACAGGGGCCATGCTAATCTCCTCTGTATTGTTCCAATTTCAGTATACGTGCTGCCAAAGCAAGCACCCCATCATATATTCTGACAATGCAATTGAAACATAGATCAATAACAAGCCCTCTTCCCAATGATGTGGAAATTATTAAGAAAAAAAAAGAACTGCTGGTGGCCCCGCAGGGTGAGAGACCTGCGAACCAGCCAGAGAAACGCCGCCGTGCGCAACGGTGAGCCTGTACAGACGTGACCCAGATCCCAACATTCTCCGGCATCCGTAATGCCAGACCAGCCGCGCAGGCGCCATATCTCCTCCTCCCCTGCGACCCAACCGCAGCTCCGGAGAGACATACAACCACCAGCGGCACTCCAGAGAACGGCCTCCGTCTTGGGACCGCCCCACCTCCCAGTCTCTGCACCGTTTCCAGGAAAGGCGACTCAGAGCTAGAGACATAGCCAGCGCTCCCTGTGGGGAATTAGACGATTCCTTACCTGGTGGAATACAGTTGAACGCTGGGACCCATGGTCGACCTGCGACCAGACCCTGCCCGAGCTCATTGCCTGGGCAAGAAGGTTATAGTGAACAGCCTACTGAGGTGTGTGGCCTCCAAGCGGATCACCGTCAGGGCGGCGAATCTCCAGGGCACACAATACGCACACACATACGCGTCCCAGGCAGGAACTCCCGCCCAAACAGTCCGGAGCTGTGGCTTGGGTCTGGCGCTGCAGAAGCCAGAAGTAGCTTCGATGGGATGGTGGAAAGAAGCGAGCCCGCTCCAGACTGCGGTCCAGACAGCCCCCACCCCACACAAGACTGTCTGCTGAGGGACCATTCCAGCCCGCCTGACAGTTCCCTGGAAGCAGAGAACAAACTTTGACCCTGCAAGGCAGCAGGCTTACCCAAACCCAGCGCCGCCCAGTAACGAGAGCTGATAACAGGACTGCAAAACAACACAAGCCCTGTTTCCTCCAGGAGAACGCCACCACTGACAGGGACGCACGTTGCACAGGCCTTTCCCGCACACGACTCAAATACAGGGAGTGGTCCAAATTCCCCGCAGGCACCCCCTAGCCCAGACAAGTGTGTGGGAACCCACAACTAAGAGCACACCCTGATCGATGGGAAGAAACCGACTCAGGAAAATATGAAAACAGAAAGACACACAAGCACACACACTAACGAACAGCAAACGACCAAACAACAGCAACCAATATGTAAAAAGACGTATGTGCACTCGATAAGAACCACACCACAACCGAAGGTGCCGGTCCCGGATAAAGCTCACAACAACTCAATTCAACACAAAGAAACCACAAAAGCCTCCAGGATATGGAAAGAAATAGACAACATTGAAGAATAAAGTGTAACACAACTCCGGAAATATGGAAGAACATTCAAGACTACAATACATGGAAAGTAAGAACAGGGTAAATAAACAAAGTCACGAAAGATAACACCCTCCAATCTTAAAAAATCATCACAGAAATAGGAGCAGTAGAACAAGAGAAAAGAGCAAAAGCTACAAGACTGTGGGATATGTGAAGAACCTAATTAGGGTCATAGGTATAAGAAGGGAAAAAAGCAACACTCAAGGGTTGGACACGCTGTTCTGAAGATATAATAGAGAAAATTCCCAGCCCTTGCCAAAATCTCATAACAATTCAAGAACTCAGAGGACCACCTGGAGATGAATCAAACAAAGACGTTACGACAAAACATGCAGTCATCAACTGAACCAAAGTATCAACTAATAGAGGCCCTCAAAGAGCTGTAAGACAAACAGAAGCAAGTACATACAAGGAAAGCCAATCGAATAACATCAGACTCTCTAATAGACTTTACAAGCAAGGAGAGACTGGGGCCATTCTCACTCTTTGAAACAAAACAATGCCAGCTAGAAATTATTCCCTGCAAAACAAGCTTCGTATATGATAGGAAAATAAAAACATTCTCACAGACAACAAGGCTAGAAATCACCAGACAAGACAGCCCTACAAGAGTACTTTAAAACCAGCGTATGCACGGAGACAATCACAACCAAAACCCACGAAATATAAACAACCAAAACCAAAGATATTAACCAGGCCAGCATATCGACAATGGCTCAAGACAGAAACATAGCAACAACATCCAACCCAACGAATGATCAGTAATTACCTTACGTATCAGATTCTCGTCCAATAAATGAATGCTTAAACTCTCCACTCAAGAGACATAGGCTGCTGAATGTGATAAGAAATACAGGCCAAAGTATATGCCTGTCTTCAGGAACATCTACCTCAAGATCAAAGACTAAAAATAAAAGGTGGAGATCAATATTCAAGCAAATTAGAACCAAAAGGCTGGGTGACAGTTCTAATTTTCAGACATTGCTAGTTTTAACCAACAAAAAGTAGTAAAAAGACAAAGAGGTCATATATAATGTGAAGGGCACAGCCAGAAAGAAGAGATAACAACTTTTAAATATACCATGCACCCAACTAGTGTCACCAGATTCCATAAAGGCAAACTTATGGAGCTAAGCAAATGATAATAGCAACTCATAATCGCCGAGATTCCACACCCCACTGAGGCCGCACGAGACAGATCCTCCAAACAGAAATTAATAAAGAAATAATGGACTTAAACAAAACTCAACAATGGGGCATCCTGACAACATCTACAGAACATTCTACCCAAGATCCACTGAATATACTTCTTGCTCTCCGCTCCGGCATCTCAAGATTGACCATATCCTAGGACACAGAAGAAAACTCAAGAAATTAATAAGAAATCATACCAGTACCTTCTCACACAGTGGAAAACTGAGAAATCAACCCTAACAAAACACACATTTCTACACAGAAAACGTGGAATTAAACAACTCTACTACAATGATACTTCGAATGACAAAATCAAGACGAAATCAAAAAAGTTCTATGAACGAAAACGACGAAGGAGAGACAGAGGTTATCAACTCTCGTGGAACACAGTAAAGAGTTCTGAGAGGAACAGTTTACTTCCATAAATGCTATAACCAAAAGACAAGTAAGATCCAACAAATAACACATCTACATAAACACTCAAAGAGCTGGAAAAGAAGAACGACCAACCCAAACCAGAGAAGAAGTGAAACAACAAGATCAAATCAGAACTAAACGAAATTGAAAGGAAAGCTATCAGGAGATAATACAAAAAGTTGGTCTGCAAAAAAAAACAAACATGACACACCATATGGCTAGCACTAACGAAAAGCAGAAAGAGAAATCTCTAATAAGCTCCATCAGGAATAAAGAATCACCAACACGAACCCAAAGAGAACAAGATCACAATTTATGATATCTACAAAAAAATCTTTAATGCACCAAACTGGAAAATGTGGAGAATGGACAAATATCAGAACACACAGCCTCACCGTAGGCTCAACCAGGAAGAATATGATCCCTGAACAGACCTCTCAACAGCTGAAATAGAAAGTCAGCAATTAAAAATCCCCTAAAAAGAAAAGCCGGTCAGATGCTTCACACCGAATGTTACATACTTACAAGAAGACTATACCTATCTTCAGAAACTATTCCACAACATCGAGAAACGGAACCTCCCCGACACCTTTACGAAAGCGAATACTTATCTGATACCAAAAACCAGGGAAAGGAGTGCACACAAAAAAAAAAACTACAGACCAATAATCCCTAATGAATATAGATGCAAAAATTTCACAAAATCGTTAGCTAACCGGAATCCAACCTTAACAAAAAAATATCCACCACGACCAAGGGGCTTCATCCAGGGATGCAGGATGGTGCACATACTAAATCGATAAATGCCAATCACGCAATAAACAGAAGCAAAAACAAAGACCTAATAACCTTCAAAGGATGCAGAAAAACTGAAAATATTCACAAGGCCTTTCATGATACAACACTTAAGAAAAAGGCATAGAATGGGACATACCTAAAATGAACAAGACCATATAT